GAATCTGGCTACCAAAGGCTGCACCTTTCTGAAATTCTATTGGGTCTCAGAAGGGTATTTTCACGTGTGGTTCCTTGTGACCCCTCCCACCATCCTTCCTCACCCTCGGCATCACTTACTCTTCTCTTTTGGAGTAAATAAACTCGTTTCACATTGGATCCAATCCAGCCCAGCACTGGGATAGCAATCAAAGTCCAGGTATATGAATGAGCCACACTGTATTGACCCCGTAAAGAAGGGGTGGGGAAACTAAAGCCTGGGAGCTGGATGCAGCCTCAGCTTGCCTGGATCTGGCCCTCAAGACTTGGGGTCCCCACCCCCCCAGCATTCGGGAACCCACATTGGTGCTCCAGCCTCCCCCTTCCCCCCAGAACTCTCCCCCTCCGTGGGCTGGAGCACACAAAATCTACTAGCCCAGGCCCTCCTAGTGAGGAATGTGGGGCCACATCGGTGAGGGTTTGGTTTGGGGGTTCCCCACCCCTGCTCTGAAGACAATGAACTGACAGGGCATGTGAGGATGGGCCAGCACACAGGCAGACGTATGGGGGAAAGCTGGGACCGGGGCCAGGGCGTCGGTCGCTCTCCCAACAGTAAAGGGGCAGTGGAAGCCAGTTTGTGACCTGCACGCATGTAGCCTTGCTGGGGGGCCGGGGCTGTGAGACCCCCAGCGTGGAGCAGCGGGGAGAGAACTGACTGTATGGCAGACAAGAGAACGGCAGGCAGGCGAGCACACAACCCCCTTACGGGAGTGGGCTGAACCCCAAAACACCCGTGTCCGTACGTGGCAGTAGCAGGGGAAGCGCTGCCCCAGCCCCACACGAGACACAGCCCCCGCCTGAGGAGCTCACAATGGGAAGGGATGGATAATGCCACCCAGAGAGCCACAGGGTCCTTCGGAGGAGGAAGCACCGTGTCTCCCCATGCGGCAAGGGAGCGCCGCAGGCTCGGCTCTGCGCATCAGCTCTGCCACCCGGCAAGTCCTTGCCAGTCCTGTGGAGGGCAGCACGGGGCACAGGGCAGCCTGCGCACGAGGCAGCAGGGGCACAGGGGAGCCTGCGCACGAGGCAGCAGGGGCACAGGGGAGCCTGCGCACGAGGCAGCAGGGGCACAGGGGAGCCTGCGCACGAGGCAGCAGGGGCACAGGGGAGCCTGCGCACGAGGCAGCAGGGGCACAGGGGAGCCTGCGCACGAGGCAGCAGGGGCACAGGGGAGCCTGCGCACGAGGCAGCAGGGGCACAGGGGAGCCTGCGCACGAGGCAGCAGGGGCACAGGGGAGCCTGCGCACGAGGCAGCAGGGGCACAGGGCAGCCTTTGCACGAGGCAGCAGGGGCACAAGGCAGCTTTCGCACGAGGCAGCAGGGGCACAGGGCAGCCTTTGCACGAGGCAGCAGGGGCACAGGGCAGCTTTCGCATGAGGCAGCAGGGGCACAGGGCAGCCTTCGCACAAGAGGCAGTGTAAGGACAGGGCATGTATCCCTGCCTCACACATGGCCAACCATACAGGGCAAGGGACATTGTACCCTCTCCCAGGCTGGCCCCAGGCCTCCCCCACGGAGCCTGACTTGCTTTAGCACACTACACAGGAGGCAGCTCTCAGCTGACGCTCGCTGGCTTCACAGCAGCCATGCCACTTAAGGAGGGCTTTGAATGCAGAGGGGCCCTGGCACACAGGGGAGCCTGGCACACAGGGATGGGGCCCTGGCACACAGGGGAGCCTGGCACACAGGGACGGGGCGCCTGGCGCAGGGGATGATGGGAAGGAGGCCAAGGCTGCCTGTGCATGGAGGACAGTCGTAAGCTCTCCCTCCATCCAGCAGCAACATTAGCCACGCTTGGCCTTCCCGCTCAGACTCCTGCGGGCCCCGCAGCTGGGTCTCGCCGCCTCAGGCGCACGCCAGGTTCTCTCCCTCCCCTGTCAGTTCCCACGCGTGCCTCGGATGCCTTCGCAGTTCTGGGCTCCGTTTCCCAGCTGCACCGGGGGCGAGAGACGCCCCTCGCGGCGGAGAGCTTGGGAGGCCGAAGCCATGGATGCGGGCGAAGCGCTGAGCCACGCCCGAGGGAGCCACTGGCAGGTGGGGGCAGATTCTCGGCCTGCCACGCCAGCAGCCTGGCTTCCCCTCCTGCCCAGATACTCAACGGACACAGCAAACCGGGCTCTGTGTGCCGACAAACCTCGTCTCCCTTGACTTTACCACGCCCAATACATCCACACAGCTCCGCCACGGGCACCTGGCCTGCTGGGGGCTTGGCAGAGGGTCCCACCCACTCGGAGCAAGGCCCCGGAAAGCAAGAGGGGAGGCTCGCAGCTGGCAATGGCCCGGGGCCCAGCCGGCACAGGGGACGACCCACATGGCCTTTCACCCGGGCAAATCAGCCCCAAGTGCCCAGGAGACTTCCACAGGCCACGCGGCCGCCGGGCACCGTGTGGGGAGGTGAAATCCTCCCTCACGCCATGCAGGAGGGACGCCTTCACGGCGGGGACAGGCCGGTGCCCAGCGGCAGTCGCTCCGCTTGACGGCCGTGCCCCAAAGGCCGGGGCGGCGCTCCGCAGAGGACCCGCTGCCCGACCGGCCCACAAACGGACGACTCTTTGCTGCCCCATCC